TGAATTTTAATAAAAAAAAAAAAAAAATTATATATATAGCATAATTTTCGCCTATCCGATCAAAAATTAAAGTACAATTTTCATATGTGATATACGTGTAGGCGGTAGTCTCTAGATCTTACTTACTAATCGTTGATCGCGTCTAGCGAACAACGTTTAGATTCTAATGGGTAAGAAGAATTTGCAGAAAATTTTCGATATCCTTGAGCATTGGCATAATTTAAACTGCTTCGTATTTATGTATGTACAGAGTTATAGAAGAGGAAAACCTAAGCTTTTCTATATGCACAACGTCGTCTCTTCTTCCGACAATTGAGGACCAATCACATGATCATCTTTCAATAAGAATGTTATATTAATCTTCGAACGAATGCGATATACTTATCATTTTGAGGAGCGATTTAAAAATTTGCAGAGTACCGGCAACCCATGATGACATTCGAATACATTGAACTTTTCTCCCAAGTATGGCTAATAGTTTTTTTTTGTACGAACTCAGTTAGTAAGTTGTAATTTTTGAATTGTTTCGACTTTTTTGCGGCCATCCGTTTTCGTACAACCTTCCTAGCGAAGAATTAAATATGTATGCGGTTCGGTTCAACTTTACATATCTCTCGCAATAGCGCTGCAACAAAGCTTCTAGCAGCAAATGTTGTGTAGTCAAACATCGTTATATAGTTAGTTAAATTGAGTCCCATTTACAGTGTGTGTGTGTGTGTGTGTGTGTGCCCTACATTAAACAAGCGCCACGTAAGATACTAAGTAAGTTTCGATTTTATTTTATTATAAGCTTTCATCATCGCATAAAAACTTTTTTAATCCGTATTTCAAATCCTTCCGAATCCTTCTGTTCACGCTGATATTCTATCAATGACAATGCCATGTAAAAAGGAAGAATTTTTTTTTGTGGTGTCATATTCAAAATTGGCGACCGCCACATGAAAGATCCAATGCGAAGCTGTTGGTCGACAAATCAATCAGGCATTTCAGAATGCCCGATGCCGTTCTGGCGTTTTGCATACATCGTAAGTCTCTCCCCAAAATTGTGGAATAGAATGGGAATTGTAGTGCACTAACTAACTGTATAAAATACTTTATATGAAGATTTTATATATATATAGAAAAAATACGCTTGTATTTAAGTTAAGTAAAAAGATGGAAAATAAATTTTACAGCAGTTGGCTTTTAAGTTTGGAACGTTTAGAACAAACCGATTTCCTAAATATATATATATATATATTAAAATTTTAAGCGCTCCACAGCTTTTATATTCCGTTTAGGCGATTTAAACAAAGTTTATTCAAAAAAATTCATAACATCTTCCGGTTTAACGCATAAACTACTGAGGCTAAGAAGGAGCGGCCCACGTTTGCTCGCAGGTTTCTACGCAAGTCATAATACTTTCGGGTATCACCTGAGAAACGTGAGTAGCGTCGAAACGGATTCATGCAGATTCTGCCAAGCGACAAGTGACTCGTCTTATCACCATTCCATGTGAATGTAAGGCAATCTGTAGAATCAGACATCAAGTGTTTGGCGAGCACCTTATTTACGCCCGCCACGTTATGATATTCTGAACCAAAGAACGTGGCAGAGTTCAAAAGAATTTTAAAACTGGGCGGATTGCCCGCTCAATTAATGAAAACAATATTGATCACAACCAATATCTGGTCTATAACGCTCCTAGGCGTTATTTCCAAATGTTACACACGAAATGAATAATCCATCATACTCCGATTTCTTTGTAGTTTTGCTCGTTTATAAGCCGATATACATTAGAACAATAGTAAGTGAACTTTAAATCTATATGTATGATTCAAAATAAATAATCAACTCGGGGGGAATTGAATTTTCGATAGCCCTACACTCAAACAAATGTTTGTAAAAATCGCAAAATTTTTTCTTTATGCATTTGGTTGAGTTGTTTGAGAATTTTTTCAAAATCTAAAAAGAGCAAGAACAAGATAAACGGATGGAATGCATTGAATGCCATCAACGAGTCAAAATTAATCGATATATACATATATATGAATTATTTATATATCTGTTTTGTAACAAATCGCATTACAAAACTAATATGCCTTTAGCAATTTTAAAAAGTAATTTCAAAACTCATGGAAAGTTTCATTTAATCTTTCTTTATGCTAATAATGAAAAGTAACAGAAAATGATAAGCGAATTGGTATTTTGATAACAGATATCATATATCAAGACTACACATAATTATTTCTATTTTCATTTTATCAGCATTCGATTGATTCAAATATACGCGCGCGCGTTACGGATCCATGTCTGCCAATGAAAACAAAATCATTTGAATTTTGTAACAAACAACAACAACACGGATATGGAGTTTAGAATTAAAAACTTTCTGTTCGAATAGGTGCAAAGTCTGTAGACCCTGCGGACTGTAACTATAAGACTTTAAGCTAATGTTTGGAAAGTTTGAGTAAAATTTCGATAAATTTAATACTAAGTGATTTGGGTGGAAAAACAACAAGTTAAGCAAAATAGGCAAATACTCATAGAGGGATCATGGAGTGTTAGTAGGACCTCTCCCCTCATCTCATTCTAAAGGGGTTTACACTGATGTAGAACAAATAATTTCACGTTTGATCTATGAATTTCGACTAAAAGTTCACTGCTTTCGCATTTTGCAAACATAAGAAATGGGGTGGGGGGGAAGGGATACGGATAGGATTGAAACGACTCAGAATCTTTAGTTTATCCAAATTATATGCTTTTTTATCTCTAGAAATTGCAAGTCAGCGAATCAAGAAAGTAATATAGAATAACTTATTCTAAGTGTTACATACATACGCATAAACTGAATATAAATTATCCCACAAGGTGTAGTATAGGGTATAAAAACGTACTTTAAATAGTTGATTGAATGCCATAAATATGTCATGTTGTTGTCACAGGAATAATTGTCAGCAATGAAGAAGAAGACCACGTTTTCATAACATTTTCTACATACAACCAGGTGTAGGATGACACAACCGACAGATGGGAGATTGTTAATATATGATGCAAATAAGATTGATCCGAAATGCTTATCTTGAGCAAGGACACCGGACATTACTCGAAATTTATCAAATTGAAAGAAGAGATGTAGAGCACGCCGAAAGCTCTGTCATGGAGCTATGATTGTATAAATAAGATGGCGAACATTTATTTAAGAGTTTGTTTTCATGTATGTGCGCATGGTGTGTATGTGTGTCTAAGTTCATGCTTCTCGCATTCTACTCTCCAAATTCGCTTATTCGATACCCCTGATCACTGGTATTATTAAGAAAAACTTAATTACAGCAGTGTCTATCATTTTCATCTTAAAATTAACCCATTTTTAGGGCAGATAATATATATGTCCTTCATTTGACGATATTACAAAATAGTTTCAAAAATTCTGTCTTGTTCGCCTCATGACAAAAAAAATTCATTTAACCTTAAAAGAAGTGAAAAAAAATTACATTTTATTACTCGTAATTTTGTGCGAAGACAGCCGAATGATTCCATTATTGGACCTAGAGAGTGAAGTGTCTCTCATAAAGTAAGTGTGAAAGGTTTGAGCCGTCTAACCTTAATACCTTCCAAATAACGAGCAAGAAATCAAAAAAAATTTTTATTAAATGAAAACAGAGTTGCGTTCAGTTTACACTCCACTGCGCGCGTCCGCTCCCGCCGATTTGTCTCATTTTCAGTAGCAACCTGCGTGCGGAAACTACTAATGTTTCACAACACACACACACACACAACACTGACGGACAGACATGGCTAAATCAACTCAAGATTATACGCTGATCAAAAAAAAAAAAAAAAAAAAAAAAAAAATGTATATATATATATATATTTTATGTATATATATATATTTTATTTTATATATTTTATAGGGTCTCATATATTATAAAAAAAAAAATAAATATATGCCCATTTTACAGTGGTGGGTACAAATACATACATTTTATATACAATAACTATATAGAATTATGTTATATGATTCTTTTTCTACTTACTAAGTATCCTATCATGTAGAAAATTCCAAGATGCCCTCCCAGCCGCAATTATTAATAAGCTTTATATTTTGCTTGTTCCTGCCTAATTGAAGACGGATTAAAGAGAGAGAGAGAGAGAGAGAGATATAGAGAAAGAGAGAGAGAGAGAGAGAGAGAGAGAGAGAGAGAGAGAGAGAGAGAGAGAGAGAGAGAGAGAGATAGAGCAACATTAATTGGAAGAAAATTTAAATTCTGAACCTTAAGCAAATGGAAAAGACAGAGATCTAATCAACATATAGCTAAAAATGCTTGTTTTGTTTGATATCTGAACTACTTAACTAAAATTTTAACTAAAAGTTAACTAAATCGTTGAAAATTTTCTAAAGTTGCTTTGTTTTCAGCGCGAAAGTGATATCAGTTATAACAAAATTGTGGACGTATTGTGGATGCTGCTTAGTATAGAACGTTACATGCTTAACATAAATCTTTGCAAGGCTACTGGATGCATTATATAATACTTTATTGTTTTAGTTGTAATTTACAAAATTTTTTTCTCTTTATTTATACGGTCCATATGTGGCATAGTTTGGTTAATTGCTTATACATCTGGCATTTATAGGTCAAGCGAATAGGTTGAGAAATGTCATCTTATTTGTGTAAAATTGACGGAGTGATTGATTCTAATCCTCACCATCTTCTTCACTACGTTTTAAAAGATTTGTTTTGCTTTGCTATCTTGCCGTCTTTCACTCTCACTTTACCATTAAATTATTTCTTCGAATTGACTCAACATTGCTTGAATACGTGGAGTAAGGCATATTTACACGTAATCTTAAAATCGCAAGACCCTATCCTGACTTTTAATTGATTAGGCGGCAGGCACATGTTGTTTTCATTATTATACTTATTATAGAATTTATTTATTAAAGGACTGAACTGAAAGTAGGATGAAAATGATTTTTTATTTTTTTTTTTTATATATATATATATTTTTTTTTTTTTTTTCTATGTCTGAAATAATATCCACAATTGTGTTAACATATTACTTAAATCGATATTAATATTTGCATTTTCGATATTCCTAAGCACTTGTGACGGTTTCAGCTTCACCGTAATGCTAAGTAAATAAAATATTTCTGAATGAGATAGAAATTGAAAGACTTCATTAGTGTGCATATATTTTAAAGAATGTAGAAATTTTTTAAAAAATTCGCATAAACTTTCTAAGAATTTCTTACTTTCTAGACATTTTTTATAAAATGTCTGCCCCTCGTCCATCACTGCAATGCATCTAATAATCGATCTTATAAAATATTTTACTGAATTTGTATTAAGATTTATAATTTTATTACACAATTTATCTTCAAGTATCGCATACTTTATGAACATGCAATTATTTATATCGGTACAAAAGATAAATCCTAAAATTTCGAAACCTATTTCGTTGCATATTTTATCGAAGGCTGCATCGATTTGAGTGACGGGCAATTGAAACAATTTGCTTGCCAGGAAACTCATTTTGCTGCTATTGATATCCAATGATAAATTTGTAGGACATTTTACTGATATATATTTCGAATAAATATCTTTAAGATTCTTAAGTATATTATCTAAAATAATTGCGTTTTTTAAAGTATTTGACGATAGCAAAATGTTCTCATTTAATGATGAAATACAATTTAAATTTTTAAAATCACTCAAACAATGCTCAAAATATGCTCTAAGAAATGGCTCTTGATTCTCTACAAGACCATCGACAATTCCATTACCATAATGTGTAATGCATTCATGAAGAAACACTGACGCCTTAATAATAGTTTCTATACTTTTCGATTCGTAATCCTGTTTACATGTTACCGATAACCATTGCAATAATTTCGCGCAAGGTTCTACAACGTCCTCCGCGGATGATCCCAATGATAAATGTTTGACGTAGTCATCCATTTTGAAAGCTAAAAAGAAAAATGAATAAATAAATAAATAAAATTTGTACTAAAACAAGTAAGAAAATTATATTCAGTCACAAGGAGACAAGTGTTTCCAACAGACCTTACAGATGGACTTGCATAAATTGATTTTAAATGATTTTGATAAGTTGATCAACTGTAGGGGTCTCATCCTGCTTCCTGCTTCCTGCTGAGAGAAGGAATATAATCCCTTGCCTAACCTTGGCCAAAGAATTAATCTGCTCGCAAATACGGTCAGTGATTTGTAGATTACATCATCTTACTCACTTAAAACAAAACTAACGGTATTAAAATATCTTAATTTGGATTTGGAGGCAACACACATTTGTAAAAGAGAACAAACACAGTTAATTGCTTAATTGCTTAATAGTCGTCGTCGCTTTTAATAGTAATAATGTACCGAATATATATATTGATTTGAAATCTGAAATCTGAACACAAGTTATTCTAATTTTCCCACCGTCGCAACTTCACAACTAACGTAAGAAATTATTCTCACCCGTCACTGTAAAATTATTTCTGAATTATGTGAATTTAATTAGGTTCATTGGCGATGTCTATATATATGTATATATATTTATTTTATATCTTCAGATATTATATATATATTTACATAATTATGTTTTTTGATTATTATATAAATTAAAACATATATATATATATTATTATTTTTATAAAAATTTCTGTTTCGAAATAATTCTCATTTTAGTTTGTGTGTAATTGCGATTGCGTACAGATCGTTGAGAGAATGTAAATAAATAATCACACATATATTCTCACTATTTAATTACTAATAAAAAGAAGGTAATGAAGAAATATTTTTTGTGTTATATGTTGATCGCTAAATACAAACCTTCGATATTTAAATTTTGTCTTTACGAGAGACTTTGATAATTTAATGAATGCAAACTTTTTAATTTATTTAATTATTTATTATTATTAAGAGATAATCGAATAATTGAATTTATTTGGAATGCAAGCATTTTTCACACCATCACTCAACGAATGAGAAACAGATGTTCGATGAGTGGCTGCCAAGTTTCGTAAAAAGTGATTTAAAAAAAAAAAAGTAAATAAATAAATAAATAAAAGAGCAACAGATGGATGAGATCCACAGATTGGATTCTCTTAAAATGTAAATAAAGCTGTTCACTACTCAGATGTTGAGATTTGTTGTTGTATGTTGAACGAAACCATAAACCAAATCAGTGATTCCAACTACGCCTTTTCCTTAGCATTCTTAGCATTAAGTTTGTGCGGACACACAGAGGAGCTTAAGATAGGCCCAAAATTTTATTGTATCGATCGATTCAGTATCATTTTCTGAATTGATTTAAATTTGTCTGTCCGTCTGTCTCATGTATATATATTTCTTTTTGTGTTCAATCGACAAGTTGCTATTTTGGCGATTTTGGCAGCGTTCATCCAAGAATGAACGCTATCGAAAATGATTCGAGTCGGTTCACTTTATAACACCTTATCGTTGAAAATTCGTTATATATAAAAAATTTACAATTTTCAGAACTTTTCAACAAAAATCGCTGAGTAATAGTATTTCCACGTGCTAAATTGATATGAACAACTTCGCTCAGCTGAAGTAACTTTTTGAATCCCCTCTCATATGCCTGTTCCAACGAAAACTGAATTTGTTATATGAGGAAATGGTATAATTCTCCATATTTCATGGCGAAAATTGGTTTATAATAGCAAATTGACAAAGAAATCATATTGGACCATGTTAGTCCATTTTTTTTGAACTCCCGTGCATATAAGAATTCTAAGGAGATATGAACCAAAGAGTCCTAATTGTTGATAGTGTATGATGAAGATGTGTTCATAATAATAATTTGACATAAAAATTAGCTGGACCGAGTTTGAATCACATAGGTCTATTTCTTAGATCCCACGCCACTTAAGATTACTTATGGGTAGTACGCCCTTCATAAAAATATTTGATTTTTAATATCGATTCATAATAGTATTTTAGGAACAAAATAAACAATCACTTAATCTTGGATCGCTTAAATCTATACTTTAGACCCTAACATATATGGAGATTATCATAAGCCTTGATATGGAGAGAAAGTTTTTTATGGCGAAAAATGAAAAGTAAGAAAATTTTTAGGAAATAAATTAAGTTTGTTGTTGACTTGGATAAGGTCAGATGATGTTTTGGGTATCGTTGGGTATATGCGGGCTTTCATGAAGAGGTATATCTTAGCATGAAAATAATGTGTACTGTTTGGTATATGTTGATGTTTATACTACATGAAGTGGTATAGGCTTCTTAACGATCGGCTTTGCTTCGTTTTCCTTTTCGTTTTTTTTGTTGAATAAATTAAAAAAAAAAAAAAATTACTTTTGTTAAATATATTATTAATCAAAGCGTTCTCTACAAAAGAAATTCAAATCTTCCATCTTGACTGCAATATTTCAGGGATTTCCTATCGGGGCAAGGATCTTGTCCTTAACGAAACGCAGACCGTTAACGATAGATCCGACCACATTTATTTGTTCTCGCATGCAATTTTAAGCACCTCATTATGATTCTTTACTTCTGAACAAGTTAAAGCATTATAGTCGCGCAAGGTCAACCATTAGATACCCTACACCACATTGTCTAACACAATTCTTATCCTTATTATAAGAACACAAAAATTATATCTTATTTCTATATAAAGGCATATTTTTCAAGTACGTATTTATGGGGAAACGGGAGAAAAACGCAATCTAATGTAGTACAAGCCTAATCCTTACATAAGGTAGGATCAAAAGATGAGCGTAGAAGGTCCAAATTTTGTAGAGTACATTTTTGCATGAAATTAATTTTATGGGTCAATTTCTATCATCACATATTAAAACTTCAAATTTTCAGCTCTATAAAGAATCAATTATCGTGAAAATCCTAATTAGGATAGCAGCCAGAAAATAGGCCGAGATGATCCAAATTTGGTACAGTTAATTCTTCTTTATGTTAAATTACTATTCCGATATCATTTTCATGATGAAGCATTAAAAATTATGCCTTTTTCTTACCTGAACGTCAGTTTTCGTTATATGAGAAGGGATTCAAAAATGGCCGCAGCTGGTCCAAAATTTGGAATATTGCATTTTTTTTTTCCATATAACGACTCTTCAGAATAGAGCGTTATAGGAAGAGTCGTTGAAAAAGTGAATTGATCCGAAACATTTTCAATAGCGTTCGTTCCGCAGCAGATTTCATCAAGATTTGCTGTAGCTGTAGCTTGAACACAAATTTATAAGGGGCGACATCAGTCGAACAGAGTGATTCTGAATCGATCGGAATAATAACAGATGAGTCAATCTTAACACTTTGTGCGTGTTACATACGTCCGCATTAACTTAATATACCCTATACCAGACGGGGGGTGTGGGATATGAAGAGAAGGCTTCACTTTTCATCCATATTCCTGTTATGTCGGAATTAATTTAGCTTACCTTCATCATATCATACCCATTAAAATGTTTGGAGGCATTCCGTGCCAGCCGTGTTCGTTTTTCTCCTCAAGTGTAGTCGCATAAAATCGAAATGGAAATCTTTTGCAAATGACTTCTCGATCGATTTAGTTATCTGCCATCAGCAGTTTAATGCTTTTTCATGGCTACTGAGATTTGAAATTTTCCGTCTGTCAAAATACATGATTTTTCATATTTGAGAAACACACACATTCTATCTATGTTTGTCATTTAACTTAATTGATATAAAATAAAGAATTAAAAAATATTTGTATATATTCAATATTTTCAACTGTTGAAAATGTATTATCAAAATTTAAAGCGATTATTAGTTGTTCGAAGATATTTAGGAGTCACGATATATCCGTCAGAAATTAATGCATTAGGTCAAATAGTATCAAATCGACAGCTACTGGTGTCGTCCCGAAGGACAAGACAACAACTATATTATCTGCTATTATCGAAGTATAATGAATGCCAACAATGTTATTGCACTGCCACGCTTCAGCTAATGACTAATGATAAGATCGTTGCCCAAATGTCAAAGACTGAAGTCAAGCATGGCATTAGTACTTCGACGAATAACATTAATGAGATGTTGTCTTCCTTAAGTATTAGAGGCAGAGGTGCATCTCGTTCGTCCTGTTATGCAAATAGAGGTACCACTGTCGCTAATACCATTAGATTATTGCCGAAAAAGCGTTACACAAATCGGGGAAAAATCGACTATGGGTTATCGGATGACAAAACAAGTCTTTACCGTCGTAATGCAGTTGCTAAAGAATTGTGTTCGTCACACTCAGGCGGCCGTAGTATACAATCTGAAAACATAATCAAGCAGCTGTGCTTGCAAAGGAACGACGATACCATAAAGAAACAGCAATCGTATGGTAGGACAAATGAAAATGAAAATTCCAAATTGCCAGCATTAGCCTCGGACGATCTTAAAGTTTTTTCAACAAATTTATACATTGCCACTGTTCAAAATCAATTGTGCAGTCTCGCTAAAACGCCTATCTTGCACTATCAACAGCGGGCTAATTACACAAAAGATTGCGACACTGATCAGTTAGATGATCTTGGTGTCGCGCCACGTGATCGTATGGGGCTATGGGGTACTGCTGGTGACGATATACCCGGTAAAATATGCGGCATAGAACGTTTAAGAAACAAAAGATACAATAAGGGCTTGGGCTTCGATTTCACTGAACGTCAGCTATTGGGCATACACGGTCTGTTGCCGTGTGTTTACGAAGGCGATGAAAAACAAATCAAGCGATGCATTACTTTATTGGACAGCTTCGATAAGCCTTTGCATAAGTTTATGTACTTATATAATCTGTCTGAAAATAATGAACGCCTCTTTTATAAAGTATTTGCATCCGATATACCGAAAATGTTGCCTCTGGTCTATACGCCCCTTGTGGGTTTGGCTTGTCAGAAATTCAGTTTGATTTATACGCATCACAAAGGCTTGTTTATATCGATTAAAGACAAAGGTCATATCTATGACGTATTGAAGAATTATTCTGAAAATAACATCAGGGCTATCGTAGTTACGGATGGAGAACGTATTCTCGGTTTGGGTGATTTGGGTGCTAATGGCATGGGTATACCGATAGGAAAATTGTGTTTGTACGTGGGTTTGGGCGGTTTTAAGCCGGAACACTGCTTGCCAATAACACTTGATGTAGGAACGAACAACGAAAGCCTTCTTAAAGATCCTCTCTATATTGGTTTGCGGCAGAAGCGGGCAAAATGCGAAGATTTCGAAGAATTTCTAGAAGAATTCATGCAAGCCGTTGTCCGCCGTTATGGACAGAATTGCTTGATACAATTTGAGGATTTTGGCAATACCAATGCCTTTGGCTTGTTAAACAAATATCGTGATCATTATTGCACTTTCAATGATGACATACAAGGGACAGGTTGCGCGGGCATAGCCGGCTTATTGGCATCAAAACGAATAAAAGGCGATAAATTGTCAGGTAAAAAATTTCTCTTCTACGGGGCGGGAGAAGCATGCTTAGGCGTCGCGAATCTCCTTGTAAAAGTTTTGACCGAGGAAGGTCTAAGTGAAGACGAGGCAAAGAAATTCATCTGGCTGTTTGACAGCAAAGGCCTTATTGTTAAGGATCGGCCAAGCGGTGGTTTAACGGAACATAAAGAAATTTTCGCCCACGATCATGGTCCTATCGATAAGCTATTAGATGCTGTTAAAACTATAAAACCTGCAGTGCTTATTGGTGGTGCTGCTATACCGGGTGCTTTTACCGACGAAATTCTGTCCTTAATGGGTGAATATAATGAAACGCCGATTATATTTGCTTTATCGAATCCTACGCAAAAAGCCGAATGTACAGCCGAGCAGGCTTACGCTGCCACCAAAGGCAAATGTCTATTTGCCTCCGGTTCACCATTTCCGCCGGTCGAATATAACGGCCAAACCTATCACACCGGCCAATGTAATAATTCCTATTGTTTCCCTGGCATCGCATTAGGGGTTGTATGCAGTGGCATGTTAACAATACCAGATGATATATTTTACATAGCCGCTCAAAAATTAGCCGATCTTTGCGATTTGGAGAAAGATTTAAAAGTGGGTAGATTGTATCCGCCGTTAGATAAAATTACCACCACATCTTTAGAAATAGCTACGCAAATTATGGCATACGCTTTCGATAATTGCTTGGCTACTCTTCATCCTGAACCGGAAAATAAACGCGAATTCATCATGAATCAGATGTATAACTTAGATTATCCTCCAGCGGTACCAAAAACTTATAATATTACCAAAAAGTCAGCCAAATATAAATAAGAAGCTTGATTGCTGTTCATATTATATTTTTTTAAATCGTCATCAGCACGATTGGCATGGGCCCCGATTCTTTGCAAAAGGCATTATAAAGCCGATATATTTCCATGCGCTGCCATTTACATAGAGAAATCTCTTCCATTGTATTATTATTACCGTAAACCGTTTTCGTCACGTGGTAATGAAAATTTATTTTTATTTTTATTTTCAATATTATTAAATTGAATGTTAATAAAATATTTTAGCCCTTTAAAAAAAAAAAATATATATATATATATATTTGCATTGATAACATCTTTTATAGTGAAGTATTCCTCATTTGTATCTAGATATACTTATACGGTGACGTGTGCGTAATCTTTTTTTACATTATGATCGCATATGATCGCATCAAGTCATTAGATCACAACATCAGCGACTTACACTCACTAACTAAGATCATTCGCAAATAGATTGTATAATAAGGAATCCAGTAAAAGAAGAATTGACGCAATCTACTGAAATTAATTGTTTTAGATAAATTTTTCGACGATCGAATATTGCAATATAACGTGGACGGAGACCGCCTATTTTTTTAAAAGCAAACATGTGTATGACATGTGTATATTTTATAAATGATCGTATAATACCTAGACAAAAATGTAAATAATCGGCCAAATCAATCCATTAGTATAGAATATCAAAACTTCATTATTTTGTCTAAATGTTTGCAATAGCGTTCCAGCAAGAGTGTTTCAGAGACTCTATGAGATGCGCATATCCTTGATCAGTGGAAATAGGTTGATGCAAAACGTGGCCAGTATTAGTTCCAGTGTTAATCGGCCTGATTTTAAGATTGTATGTCCGTCTGTCCATGTATTTGTTATTCAATCTAAAGGACGCAGTTTTAAGAGCACATGATGAAACGTGTTTTCGCTCAAGCATAAACGCTGTCGAAAATAGTTTGGATATTCTTCAACTGTGATCTCACGATGTTTTATAAAAAGTCGGCAAAACTGAAATCCTATTACGAAAATAGCAACAACGCAACATTGTGCCATCCTACTGAGTTATTATAAAGGAATGATACGACAGATATTTAATGCTTGTTCGTTCTTTGGAAATGTATTGATCCTTTCGTATAGTACCTAGAATAGAATAGAATTGAAAAAGGTATTTAGCTAAAATTACTTACTTACTAAACGAACTGTCACAATAAGCAAACTGCTGAGCATCTAAGATTTTGATGATATTTGTCATATTGAGTTGCATTGATTCTAATACGAACGCTATTGAAAATGCATTGAATCGAATCATATTTCTGACCATTAACCATATAAATGATCCATTTTGAAAAGTTGTTAAATAAAAACAAATTCCGAATTTTTTTATTATTCCTCGATAAAAGAAATTCGCAGAAAATAGTATTTATGGTATATTAAATATTTTTCGAAAATTTGAGTCAAAAGGAACTGTTTTGGGAACATTCTCCCCTATGCAAAAAAAAAAAAAAAAAAAACCGAGACCTAAGCTGTTATATGAAAAAAAAAAAAAAAATGAATTTTTACAAATTTATGATGAAAATTGTCACAAGGAATTGATGCATAAATCTACTGTACCAATGCACAAGACTGCATAGATCTATTTTACGGTCCCTTTGACATATAAAGGTTTTCACGCGAAATTACTTTTCATATGGTAATGGGGGTATATGGTTTGCGATATTTAATGATGAAAATAGTTAGGGAATCACAAATTCTTTGATGATAAAATTTACTTCGGTTCACGTACCGGCTATGACATGAGACTTGCATTAGAGATATAACTGGGATCCATGGGAGTATGCAAGAATTTTGTTTGACATTCTGCAAAAAAAAAAACTAAAAATAAAAATATTGGGCGTGCAGGATATTTACTACGCTAACACTAACTAGCGAGTACGCCATTTTGATCCTTGTTTTATTTTCGATCTTAGAAGAAACAATTACAAATCATGTAATGTCCTGAAAATTTTTTTGGTGACTTTTATTTACGTAACGAGACCTAGATGTTTATCAAATTGATATTACAATGTTATCGTTAATTATGGGCGTGCCAGTAAATCGAGCGAGACCAATTTTTGGAATAAACACGCAGATGGATTTGATGAATGTTTAGGTATCAGGTTTTCCGAAATATCTTCGCAGAAACGAAGTTATAGACGAAAATAGGAAAATATTATTGCGTTTGTTTTTCGAGGTTGTCCCAGTACCTCTTTTGTGGTAGACGTCTTATTTGAGGAATTTCGCAAATTTGCTTGTGGCGAACTGCAATTACTTGCCTTCATATTTGCGAATGTGACAAGTCGACAAATATAAGGGAATCAAAATGTTTCCGCTTGGTAGAGATAAGTGTATGTAAGACGTCGGTAGCTCGTCGTTAGTACTAATGGCCAGTAATGAATAGCGTATGCTGAGTAGTTTACACATATTGGTAACTATTAAATTTCGTCTTGCATTTATTTTTAAATGTTTAAAATTTTTTTACTTTTTTCAATTTTTTTTTTTTTATTTTGTTAAAAAAATATACATTTAAGACAAATAATCACAGATTCAAAACCTAATATAATTTTTATGGAAGCACAGTTTTATAAAAAATTTCGCAATGACCATGTATTAAACCCTTTTCGGTTTACTAACAATAGTAGGTTTACTAACAATAGTGTAATTGAGACCGTTACAATTATGATGATCTAGCACATTAACTTCCGTTGGAACGGTTGGGTGATGAATCGATTCAGTGGCAGTAAGTGAAGAATTTGCATTGTTTGTCAGTGTTTGTGATGTCGTTGATAATTTTGCATTAGATGCTTTTTTAAGCACACCATAGCCTAAGTGTGTATCATCAGCCTTGCGATAAGAGTGAACATCAAGAACATCGATAAACTCGTAGTCATTTTGTGGCGTCGAAGTAGAGCGTGGACGAGAAGCAGCGGCGGCGGCAACAGTAACAATTGTTTTATAACCGCTCGATGCTTTATTGTTCGCCGAGAGAAAATTAAGTCGATCATAAGTTATATCCACTGTCGATGGCAGTCCATTACCATTACTCTCGCCAATGTCAATATCAATAATTTTTGGAGTTTTAACGATGGGAAGCGCTTCCTTTGATTGAGTTTTCTCTCGTTGCGATTGTGAACGTTGCCAAACGAAATCTATTAAATCCTCATCATTTGGTACACTAGAATGTCTTTCGGTATGTTTAATTTCGTCAATTCCCAATGTCTTCCAAGCATCAGTTATAGTCTCAATACTTTCATAATCGCGTTCATTGTGAATTTGTGATTTTGCCATCATATCGTTGCGTACAGGTAAATCGGGAGCTCCACTATTGAAATTACAAATTTTTCGATACATATTTGGTGAAGGTGGCTTTATAATTACTGTCGAGCCAATTGTTTTATTTGGATCAACCGAGGTTGTAATCGATACTGGATCATAATTATTATATTGTTTTTTGAATTTATCGTTATTATGCTGTTGGGCGTTAAGAGTCGCTTGCTGCGAAATGGTGGAAATTATTTTGTCAGTTAAAAGACCGGTCTTGCGTGGCGGTTTGTTTGGAATAATTTTTGGTGTTGCAATAATTCCGGTGCTGCAACTGCTTAATGAATCGGAAGACGATTTAATACGCATAGATAGACAACTTTGTGTGGAACTAATGTCAAATTCCGATCCATGTTGATTAGATGGCGATGGTGGCAGTGGACTCCGCGATCCTGCTTCCATAGATGCAGCGATATTCAATTGATTTTCGCCACATTCAATGTTATTAACAGAATCTCCAGATATTAGTTTCTTCATTGATTTCATTTTCGAAGACATGCAACGAAATACTTCTTGTGGATTTGTGTGATCTAATATGAACACACCTTCGCCCGTTGAACACTTGCGTCCCGCTTCGAAAGTAAATTTCCCATCTCGATATCCATATTTTCTTATAAATCTATATGGCCATGTTGCTATTGTATTATTTATATCTTCTGCGGATTTCAGTTGTAACTCAGTTGCCGAAAGATGTAGCATATAAACTTTAGGCTCAATATTGCAGCGATTTGAGGCGTCCGATGCTATAAGAGTAACAATGAATAGCCCATCACCGTACGAACTGCAATATAGGTCATTGTCTTCTTCAATAACAGCAAGAGACGGAAGAATTTCATTTTTATCACGAAAGGCAACTTTTTGTAAGGCACCGACCCATTCCTTTAGGTCATCTTCACTGTGAGTATTCAATGTAAGTGTTCCCGTCTTTTTAACTATATGAATAAGGTTAATTGGGGCAGGCTCTTGTGTAATTTTCACACAATTCTCTAAGGTAATTATTTTTGGATGCTTATCTTCCATAGACTCACAAATTTCCAAACGTTCGATGCCATGTCGACTGGATTTAAACAATAGGCAGTATTTTTGACATGATTTCTACAAGATAAAAGAAAAAAAAAAAAAATGCAAATGAAATTAATAGAAATAAAATTAAGCTGCAAAAAAACAGAAGAGAGCTAATGCTTATCCTGTACGCTAGTATTTTGAAAATCAATAAACATGGAGTAGATCAAACTTTTATTTTCCCATGTCCGTATATCCGTTTATTTTGAAGTTCAATCTGAACTTAGCCACTTTTGCGATATTTTAATGAAATAATAACACAATGATATATTTTTCATCTAAGCGGAACGCTTGGCTTGAACCATTTTTATGAAATTGCTCATCGAGATATCTAACGCAAACAATATTTAATTAGATTTTGAACAAGAAAGGATAACATTTCGCATTTCCCATTTTTACTCTAAGAATTGCAACAAAATGAATCGAATAAGGCCGGCCACTAAATATTCGATACTATTTCGTTTGTTTTCGTTATAAAGAACTAAAAACTGTAATTTTTTTCATTTCATATAAAAGCTTGCTTTTAATTGCAATTCTTATGCGAGAAAGATTCCGAAAAATAGAATAGAATATAGTCTGAACCTACCATAGCAAATTTATAGATCACTACTATTATATATCATTGTTTTATTGCAATTTCTCGTCATAGAATACTACAGCCCATCTTTTTTTTAACATAATCAATCGCTCAGCACCAGCTTAGTGTAAGTATTAGATCCTTACCGACTAAGCACTCGCTATAGGTTTGGCCAAATTAAATTTTATCGCATTTGAGATTCAAATCTTTGTGCCACATAAGGACTAATTTTTTGTAAGAACTTTTCTGTGGGAAGATATATTTACAAAATGGTCCGATCTTTCATATGGGTTTGGTATTCCGAAATACAATTTTTCGCCAGTTTTCGTTAAAAAATGTTAAAAATTTTATTCAGATAAATTTTTCAAGGTAACTGGGCCCCATATAAAAAGAGATCGTTAATATCATCCGATCCAATACATTTTCAATAAATAACCTTCGTTCTTGGCCAAATATATGTCAGTGTACAAAATTAAATTAAAATAGATTGAACACAAAAATAGACCAATAACCATATAGATAGGCAGATGGAAATAGAAGTAGAAAGGCGACCACTATCAAATTTTTCTGGACGTTGCCTGCATTCGCACAAATTCAATCTACCCTCGCTACAAGATATAACCGATATAACCGATCATTGGTTAGATGTGCCTTTAACATCTGAATATGAACGATCCAATTATTCCAGAGCACAGTATCTATACTTTTGGTTCGTTCAACTTCCGGCGCCCACTGACTAAAAATTTGCCGTTCAGATGTTAAATTTCGAATTTCCAGTAATGTAACATAAACGCAAGTCTCATCAACAGTTAACGAATTGTTTAATACATAAACCCATTCAGTGCCGTACTCGAACGCAACTGTTTGAGTATCATCAATTCGTTCCATCTTTCAAGCAGTTTGCCCGCTTTTTATTTTGAGGCAAGAGCTTACATGCAAATGAAGTATGCACACACACGTTCACGAGGAAAATATGTTTAACTTAAATTTTTTCCACTGGAAGAACCGCGTTAATCAGGCATTAATTCTATTTGAAAAGTCTGGGATATGCCTCAAATGATTCTAATACCATTATCTTGTAAATAAAAAGATATATTACAAGAGCCAAAATAGGATTGTAGCTATCTTTTGCTATCAGTTACTTGCTTGTTTTGTCCACTTAAGAAGATAAATTTGAATAGTTTAATATTTAATATATATTCTTGGCTTGAACGGGGCATTATCACAATGCAACGCAAAACAACAAATCTAGCCGCGTCGATTTGCACATTGAGATTAATAAAATATTTGCTTTTAATTCTTGGAATATTGAGTTATAAATCTTTTCAAACTGTTTCGCCTGTAATTACCATAAAACCGTTAATTTTAGCTCTTTTCTTTGATTATAATATCAACATAATGTCTAGAGTTCCAAAAATTAGTCTCCAAATTTTTCTCATGAAAATCTTGTAGTCAATACGAAAAAGCTTACGGCTATATGTAAATAAGGCGCAGCAATCACAATTTTCTATATTTTACAATTATAAAGTTATCAAAATGGAACATTTAAACAGTAAATTAATATAACCTACTGGAATAAATTGAACCTATGGAACGAATCCATTAACTCTTCCAACCTTAATCTATCTAAGTGAAAGCTAGCAAAAAGGAAAAGTCGGAACATGTTTTTTTAATTTCGACGAAAGCTTAAGATCATAATTTAAATTTCTATGGATGTATATAATTAATTCAAAGCATAGTATGTACGCGCGTATTTGAAAATACAAAATAGCAATTATAATATAAACTGCCAGTTTTAATAAAACAATAAAAAGAGAAGGATTCAAGACAAATTACGTTTTCCTAGATGAACTGTCTTTATCCTCATCGTGACTTCAACAGGCAGAGAGATAGAACAATGTTAAATAAAATAGTTTCCGCGGTTTAATCTGATCGAGCACGCATTTACTTTATTGAAAGTCTTTGTACTTGCAATAGCTGCTTATAATGAAGTCGAATAACATAACCCAAAATGAATGTTCGATATTGGGTAAACTTTTGATTGAAGAGCCGCGTTTCCATTGCAAGCAACTTTACATTTTCACAGAACGATCATAGCTAAGTGATCATTATAAAAACGTCTCTTAATTTAATTTCAAAATCGCACTTTTTGGTATTTTGTAATTAAACAATAGGCTCAAAATTATGTAGACAAATTCGATTAGAATTAATGCTGATGCCTAATGAAGGTCATTTCCATTTCCATGATTTTCTTTCTTTTCAAAATATTCTTTAACAGAATTTCTAGTAATTTTGTACTGAATTTAAACAAACCATTTACATAAGGTTATAAAAAGCAGTTGGGCTTACACACCCCAATCAATTGGAACGCGCCATCTGGCTAAAACGCACATGATGCATACTTTTTTTTAACTTCATTTTCCAGAAAATTCAACCTATCTCACGCATGTAATCTTGGTTTATTATGTGATCTTTAGGCATCCAGTTATAATTAAAATCTTATTTTCAGTTATATATGAAAGGAACTAATAAGAAATAAAATTGTTTTTTTTAAGGAAAACAATATGAAAACTATTTAACATTTAAATTTTTGATAAACTTCGAAGACAAATAAAGCAAAAATGCGTTCTTTTTTAAGTCTACATTATTAAATCTCGTTGATCGAGCTGTTTAAGACTCAATTTCGATATGCTTACTTTTTTTGAGATTAAATTCAATGCGAATCCCGATTGCGAAGGTACGTTTAGATATCCAGCCAAAACAGGTATCTCAACATCCATTTCTCGAATTTTTTCGTTGTCACTTTTTCTTGCAATTTCAAAGGTTTTTTCGTTTCAGTTTTAAGTAAATGAAGTCATTTAGCGACAATGCGTATGAATTTTTTTTTACGCATTCCTGCACACAATTTTATTAAATATTTAATTACAAAAAAGGAAAAACACCATAAGTAAAATAAAAAATTACAACACAGAATAGAAGGAAAGATCGATTTTTGATAATTTGCGATAACTTTACTAAAAACATTCATAGAAAATTGATATCCCTTTAATTATGTGCAACTAATTTATGTTGTTGGCAGCTTAAGCAAAAGCAGTCTTAAGTGCATAAGTTTAATTTGCATCGATTCAAACCTAAAAAACTCGCATCATGAAAAAGTAAAAAATTGCAACACTAAATAGAAGCAATTTTAGACGAATACTTTATGACGATTTCATTTAAAACTTTTAAAAAAACTAATAAATTAAACGTGCCGCATTAAAATATAGTGTTGGCAACGCGAACAAAAGCGGCGTTAAATACGTCCGCCAAACTTGTATTGAATTTGGCGTCAGAAATTTTCATAGGAACATAATGGATAGAAATAATTCGGAACTTTTTTTTTTTTAATATAAGGTATCCAAACTAATGTCTGTTCTAAAGCAAACCAAACTAAACTTCCTTTAGGAATAATTTTAACAGTTACAATAAAAATAAGAATATGGAAAATGTAGTATGTAGTAAATAATTTGAGTTTTGTAGCATTGACAGCTGAAATGAAAAATTTCCTGTCTAATTTTATGTAAATCAATGGTAAAACGTTTCAGACCATTTCTCAATCGAACTTAATTAATGCAGTTACTTAATCGCGGGAATCGCTCAAAAGTAATGGCTCCGACAGAATATATTTCATAATATTTTATTTGATATTTTCAACGTCGCAATGAATTGAAAAGACAAAATAATTGCACGATTTCATTATTTAATGCCCCTCTAATTTTGGCGTAACTTAAGCCATCACTAAGTTCGTGTAAAGGCCGTTTTCAATAGTTAGGGGGGGGGGGGGGGCGGGATATTTTACAAGGGGTATGAACGTGGGCAGCTATTCTGTCCGGAGCAATTCTTCTTCGACTAACTCATCTCCGCGATTAGCAATAACTCTGATTTATATAGCTCGCGAAAAGTAGTATGCGTGACTTCAAACCATTCTTGCATTCGAATTATATATATACTTCCTGGAGATAGTTCTACGAATTGTAATTTATATAAAAAATGTCGCCTTTACGAAATAGTTAATTAAAGCAGTAAATTATAATCTCAATTATTTTATATAAAAAATGTCACCTTTACGAAATAGTTAATTAAAGCAGTAAATTATAATCTCAATTATTATTCCTATTAAAAAAATAATGAATTGATATATCATTTCATTCCATTAATAAAACATACATCATTCAGTAATTGTCTATAACTTCATACACTTTAATATAGTTAATGATTTTTATTATAATTTTATTATGAAAATTATATTTTATCACAAATATTTACATTTAACAAATAATTTTTTTTCATTTATTCATTCATTTTGGCTACATATAGATCTATTGATACTTTGATTATTTTAAGACGTTACTATATTTATTGGAATTTATGGTAAAAGGAACTAATAATTTATCATTATTTGTGATTCTCTTCGAAATAGTCTTATTTTTGTTCAACCTCTAATATTTTTATTACTTTCTCACCTTTTTCTTTTAATATTTCCTCTATATTTCTTTTCCCATTTAGATCGGTAAACCAATTTAAATTATCAGCTATTAAATGGTTATTTGAACATCCATCGCATTTCACAATTACAACACCCTTGTAATAAGCGACTTTTGATATCATTTTTGTGTTCCTAGTTGAACACACCTTGCAAGTATACATAAGTTGAAATTTTGATTTCGGGTTTAGGCTTCCTAAGCTGTTTTCGTTGCATGAGTCATTAGCAGAAGACTCAGAATCCAATTTACGATGTAATTTCAATAAACGATATTGACTGATTTGTCCGCATTGACCCGAAAGCTCTGTATTTACATGTTTAAGAATACTCAAAGGATTGCGCTGGGAAGAGATGCTGAGAAGAACCCTTTTTAGAGTCTGTATTAAACTCATTTTAACTTACAGATTAAATTTTAAAAAAAGTACAACAGTTTAGGCAGAAATTAGACAGAACTGTGGAGTATTTTATTCCTGCGAAAATTCATAATAAACATTTATACGTCAAAAGCAGCTGACGCTGCCAGCAACGTATGAAAATAAACACAAAGAGTTATATTTGTACATTAAACGATATTGTACAAAAAGTAAAGTATATATATATACATATAAAGCCATAGCAAATTTCGGGCATGTTATTCGGTCGAACGGTACGATTTGCCCACTAGACTTGAACAGGTTTCATTAATGTTGCAAATGTAATGTAGGAAGACCTCCGTTGGGCTAAAATATGTATATTACACGAAAGTTCCTGAGTGTGAGTTAGGTACTACAAGCTATAATATAGGTTATGCAATAGTGGAGATATTGTAATAAAATATATTAGAAAGAGAGAAAAAAATATATTTTGTGGGACTTTTACTTCTACTTATTTAATTTATTCGTTTACGAATATGTTTTGCTATGCTTTTATTAAGATGTTTTGTATCTCTCTCTTGACACGCCCACTTACCTAGTAAGTGGTGAACAGATATATAAAATTTTACAATGATTAAGAATATATATAGTCCCTCCCAGCGCTTCACCTGCTTGGCTGTGTAGTGGATAATAAGAACTTTTCTTAAAAATATTAGTTGAAATTATGTCATTTACATATGAAAAATAAGATGATTCAAATTGCCGTCGTGTATCCTTTTACGATGCGTTTTCCCAATAAAAACTTATCCAGGACTTGATATTTATTTCGAGGATTGGCGTATATTTATCCGAATGAAGAAATATGACCATGGCAAGCCAAATATAAATAAGTTCTGTGGAGGCATTTTTCGATAAAAAACGTCTGCTAAGCATTCAGGCAATGAATTTGCGATACCGCAAACGGTCCAATCATTTGAATTGTTGAAGTAATGGGATTGAAAATCGATTAGAAAATCCGTTCCTAAATCTATAGTGTTTCTAAACTTTACCTGACGTCGGCATCTGTTTGTTTAAGTATTTTTTGGGTTTATTTTTATAAATACTAGATTTTCACGGTCCTTTGTATATTGGCGAAGCAAGATGATGCGCTGTCGAAGAATTTCTGCGCTCCATTTCAGCATCTTATAATTTTCGGATTCGATCTGAGTCATCTTGCTCAGTATTTGGATTTGTAAACATCGAAGTGTAAGCTTTGCCTTTTTGCGAACAGAAGCGATCTGGTTTACTTCAATTTGAATTATGCTTTCTTAAAGATTTAGGTCATTCATTTAAGCGGAGTGACTCCTGTGTTTAGTAGTAAAATAAACATAAAATCACCCATTTTTCGAAGCTTATTTCGTGTAAGCAAAAATTTTACTCTTATGAAAAAATTTTTATCTATTATTATTATATACCCGTCTTTTGGAGTTTTATTTTTCCTGTTTTCGCTTTCAGATGAACTAAAACTCGATAAACAATGAATGGGACCGAAAAGTAAAATGTGCTAAATCCGTCCATTAGAGTCAAAACTCTATCTCAATATAAGATCATTGCATCATTCGCTTGAGATATAGTATACGTAAAAGTCTTTTGATGTCAGTCTGCGATAAATGTGCAAACACTTTTTTACTTGCTTGATAATTTATACACTAAGCTATTATTAGTAAAGTTTACAACTACGATAACTAGCCCAATCGTTTATAGTCAATTTTTTCTAACTGAACTAGTGGCTTCAATTGTTCGGCAAAGGCGCGCATTTCGTCTCCAATGGAATCTTGACCGTTAGGCGCCACAACAGATAATTCAACTAAATAGCTTTGACACACCGGCTCACTATCGTGCGGCTTTCCAGGTATAATTTTGAATATTTTTGCTACCGTGATTTTCATACGACCTTTACGAAACATGTATCCTTGGCTAATGTACTCGTATTCAAGACGGCAACCTAATTCAGTGAGAAATTCAAGTACGGTTGAAGTGCATCCAACGTCCAAACTGGAACGAACTAATGTAGGCCGCGAACGATCTATTTCCGGATGTCCTATGTAACGCAATTGAAACGGCATATCGCGGTCTAAAGCTCTTCGAACTCGTAGATTTATAGGAACCTGAGCGTTCTGTTGTCTCATACTCATACACACTTCTAAGTCATGAAATGTTTCCGGGGATGTTTCCACATTATCGCACAATCCTCGAAGCCTATAAAGAATAAATTTGGCGCTTCAAATTTTGCTTCTACTCAAAATATACATTACCTATGAAGTAAATGATCAACAGCGGATTCTATAATAGAGCCTTGCAATAAGTATTCTTGATTCGGTATTATTCTGTTTTGCAAAGCTTGATGTAGCGACTCCTTTGAAGACGTCACTTGTGACATCATTTCGCTGCAATATTAAATTTCGCCCCTTCTTTTCTTTCGGTTTTTTAGAAGAATTGATTACACCCGTTAACGATAAGATCAAAGCTTCGAATTTTTTATTATTTGTTTGTCCTTTGCGCTGTATAATCGATGGCCACACTATATCTCTAAAAGCAGAGATGAGATTTCTTCGTAACTAAATATGGAAGTTATCGATGATAATTAGTGATGATATTTACAGCAATAATTTCATTTTGTTATTTAACCGGAAACAGGAACGCTTTGTACTCTATAGTACAGCATACCCGTCGATTTGACGCGGTTTTGATTTTATGTGTAGAAATTCTGATCATAAAAGATTCTTCAAAATTCTTCAGAAATTGCATATTGATTTTTAATGGTATAATGTAGCAAATACATACGTCTACGTTTTTTTTGGCATACGGCTATTTTATTATTTCCAGATATTGTATACCGATTTCTACGAAATCTGTCAATTCGATGAAAATATCCAAAATATAAGATATACTATTTCTTTTCCTTAATACAATTTGCAAATATTTGCATCCATAAATATTCTTTTTATATCCACCACCGAAAGATGGATCTATCCGTCCGTCTGAAATTCCATTCGTCTATAGTAAATAAATGCACAAAAAATTGAACTCGTATTCCATGGATTATACTATAGTAACCATTCAAAAATGGAAAAAATTGATCACACCTATCCAATATTGCAATGTATCAAAGTCTATTTACTTTTTTAATATCTTTCTTATGCTCCGAAACGAACTTCAAAAGTGCGTAAAGTATATATAAATTCCTGGCTAATTTAAGATTTGGAATAAACCTAAGCATCGTGATCTAAGTGTCCGTCTGCTTAAATCTGTAGCATCTGTATTAAATATTCTCCCGTTAGCGAGTGCGAAGACAATGCCTATTTAATTTGGAAAAGAATTCGTGACTTGAACTTCCCTAAGGACACACCTACAACGCGTACATGACTATACGACAACAGCTTTAGTTTTGAAAATAGAAAAAATCAAATATTATAGAGCATGAAAATTTGGTTCTTTAAATTTTTTTGTCTTTTTTAGGGTAACGCTGATGGGTGTAAAAGATTCGGTCACTACTGAAAGTAATTTTTTCAGTTGTTATACTTCCACCATCGAAGAACTCGTCTATATTCATTATGCCAAAACATCCGCAACGTTCAGAAAAAGGCAAGAGCTTCAACCGACGCCATGCCATAATTATTTTACTGATTTCAAGTCGGTCAAATAGTAATTACTTACTCCGTTTTAAGAAACTGATGATATAATTCTCTTAGTTGGTTATGATCGAAGAGGTAAACTTTATCAGTTCTGCTTTTTCTCGTCGCAACTCAAGATTATTGTAGAGAAATGATAAAGATATGTGCTTTCATCTTTCAAAAAATAATCGAATAATGATTCGTTCGAACACATCTCATGCTCATACCGGAAGGAAATGACGAAATATTAATATGACATTATTTCAATTTGTCAATTTCGATTATAACTGGCAGCTCTATTAACTATTTCCTGAGGGTGATCGTTTTCGGGCATATGTTAGGATTTTTGGTGAATGTCTTTGCTAATAAAATTCGAATTTAACTTTACACGTTTTAATGAAATATTCAAGAGTGTGACCTTAAAACGAGATGACGCTCTCGCTTTCTTACTTAATATATTAATCTGTTGTTTAACTTTCATATGTGTTTGTGGGTTCATTCTTCATTTTTTAGTAGAACCCATTCCCGTTGCAGCATCTTTAACGAAACATGTACAGATTTTTCAATTACGTCTTTTGTAATCTGTAGATATGTTCCAAGCGTAACGTAAATGGTTAACACATTCTGCTTGATATCAATTATTAGCTTAAAAAAAATATGAATATTGTTTCATGCTTTACATACATAACGCAAGGGACAGATTGATTTGTACTTATATTTCTGTGGCCTAAAAGCCTTGATATCCGACTAATTGCAATAAATATATCGAGACTTCATATCAAATAAATATGCGCTGAGCTAATTTAAAAAGCGATTCTGAGTTAATGTCACAAGCAGCCGTATGAATACCCTCTGTATCGCTGCTTATGTATAATTTTTTTTTTTTTTTTTTTTTTTTTTTTTGCAATCTATCAGAAGGCAGTTGGCATACGTATGTGTATGTATATGTTTAACGCAAACGTTTCCGTACTTTGCATAGGTCGGCAAGTTAAATATGATGCCTTTCAGGTGAAAGGGAATTGCACCACAATCGTGGTACCAAGCAGATGTACGCATGTATGTATGATGTATTATACCGATCGATTCGGAAAATGAGTTTAAGTTTGTCTGTCTGTATCTCTGTCTGCCCGTCTATCCAATCGTTTGTCTTGAATCGTTTTTATCAAACAACAAATAGAAATTTTTCACTGAAACTTGCTATACGCACATGTTCTGACTTGTCGTGGTTCTGATCGCACCACTTTTTCCATGCATTATTTTGAAAAGTCGTTATATGAATAACTTGTATTGTAAACGAAGCGGTGTAGGGTGGCTCCCGTAACACTATAATGTTTTCACTGGGTTTCCTTTTGAAATATGGAATTGAACTGGACCAAGGCAATGAGATATGTGACTTATATGTTCAGATTGATAATAATTTATTATAAATTTTGCAGCAATTGTATTAGTACACTTCTCCCTCGCAATTCGCTTACAATTGCCATCATATTTGTTGCTTACTTTATTGTTGACTATTAAAAGGATATTACACCTGTTTGACGTTGTGAAGGTGTGGTCAGCTTGCGGATAATGCAGATCGAAGAATTTGGATTCATTTCACTTTACCAGGGCGTAAAATAGGTGCAATTTTTACTATACCCGATTAATTGAGAATAATTTTTTTTTTTTTCAATTTTTAATATATCCGTCTGTTCGTCCATCTATCATTCTAACTAATATTTGCTCTTTTCATATTTAATCTATGGACGGCAATTTGCGAGATATTTCGACAAGAAAACGAATATTATTGAAAATAGATTAGATCAGACCCTATTGATGAACACTTCCCATATAACACTGTGCCTTGCAAAGATTTGCTAAAGATTTTTATTATATCTCTTCCAAAGTTGATGAAATACTATAGTATTTTACCATATTGTAGTAAGTAAGTGTAGAAAAAAAATATGGTTCAGATGGAACCATGTTTCCTTCTAACCTCATCAATATAAACGCTCTTAAAAAAAAATAAACCGTTACATGACGGCACGTCATTCTTTGACAGATGTTGAGAAGAACCGAGTAATTTTATAGATATTTGTTACGATAAGTTTCAACTGAATAGAATTATTTTTTGGACCCGGCCTTATGTAAAAATTCTCATTCGAAAATAAGATGTAAATTTTGATATTTCATGACGAAGATAATAGGTCAAGAATTTTATTAGGTAAAGTGATGTAGGAAATTTGATAAGTCGGTTTTGGTTTTCACGGATTATAATTTTTTTTTTTTTTTTTATGCCCATCACCAAAGGATGAGGGATATACTCATTTTGTTAAAACTTTTGCAACATATATATATATTCTTGATCAGAATCAGAAATTCTAAATCGATATTAACATGTCCGTCTGTTCGTCTGACCGTCTGTCTGTCTGTATAATGTCTGTTGTAAACATTCTATGAGAATATCGTCTTCAAATTTGGCAGAAACATTGGAAATTCTTGCACGCAGATTGGTATTGAAAATGGGTCAAATCGGTTACCCGACACCACCCACAACACCACTGCAGCAAACTGAGAATATCGTCGTTTTTCAAGAAGAATAAAAAATTGATATTTTTGCTCATTACTCATAAACTGAAAATAGAAGGAATCAGCTGCGTCCACTCGATATTATCCATCCATACCATCTTTGGGGTAAACGGTGATGCATATAAAAAAGATTCGGTTTCAAATTCAATTAGAGGACGGCATCTAACTGAAAGCTCTGCGTGATGCGTGAAAATGATCTTCGAATGGACGGCTTGATAGATGGCCGATTAACTTGGAAACCTGATGTAAAAACCTTTGTGTTGCAATAATTTATACCGTAGAAGAAACAATAAAAGTCGATTTATTTGAGATTGATGTCATAAAACATCCTTTGGATGGAGAAAGATCATTATAAAAACAAGTGACTCGTCGGACGTTAACCGTTGTTTTTTTTTATTCAGAAATTCAGATATATTTTTTCAAAACCCTCTTATATAAGTAGCAATATCGATATATTGATTAAACCATGTCATTGTTCAGAGTTTGCATTTATCGGGAAAATGACATTTCGATGCATAACAAACACATTTCGAACGAACTCTACTAAATCTAGAATATTGCAAAGTTGCACAATTTTTATGGAAGGCATTCGCATGTACATGGGCATGTGCAAGTTTATTAGCATGCTCGGCTAGTGCATAGGCGCGAAAAAGCGCGAGAAAAGTGGAGCATAATATTTTTTTTTTGACGAAATCGTTCACAAGAACGCAAACAGCGTTGACGCAGCGCTACAATTTATGCCACGGCATTCTTTACCTAAATGCTAAATAAGGTAAACATTTTCAATGGAAATCATAATTTCATTGATTACAACAAAACAAATGTAATTCGGAAAATATTGAATAAGAAAGAAAATCCGCACCTAAGCCTAAGAGCAACATAATAAAGGTGACGACTGTTCGAACTGTTGCTTTATGGATGACATGATGTCATTAAAACGGATTTGCTTTCTTCTTGCCTTTATATTGAACTTTCAACGATTGTGTGTCACGTTAACGAACGTTGCCGAATGACCGAATTTGATTGAATTAAAAAACAAATGCAATTTGTTCTAATCATACATTATGGCAGGAAATCAATTTGTAGCATTTGTAAGTTTACTCAGCGTTAACACGATTTGATAATCGTTCAAATTTGTCAAAATTCCTCTCTTGTTATGCTCACTATGTGCAAACAATATTCAAGATCGAAATTATAGAGAAAATGCAGACCTTTAAGTAAAGCCTTGATAATTATCATTTAAATGCTCTATATATATATATATAATGTATATATATATAATATAATTATATATGTGTATGTATGTGTACTACGTGTACGATGTAAAAATTCTTTACGGTTTTTCAACGGGATGATGTTAATGCCCATATATCGGGCAGCATTCACCTGATTGTCTCTGTGCAGATCGTTTTAGTAGAAATGTCTATCGGACTATATCGGATTTTGTGTGGTCTCCTTCCTATAGGTGCTATGTAGATTCAATTAAATCTGTTCAAAAGAAATTCTTGCTATTCTTTCTTAGAAATTTGGGTTGGGATCCAATTGCCTCTCTTTCCACCTACGATAATAGAGTTGCTTCTGTCCTCCTCGCCTATCGTCTCTCGAGAAACGTAGATTTCTATCTTGGCGTTTCCTTCGTAATCAAATTAATAAATGATGCTATTGACTCGCTTGCATTACTTGGTGAACTAAGCTTTAATGTCCCCAACCGCTTCTCTAGGCACTTTATCTTGATTAAGCTTAATTATGAGTTATTTAACCCGCTCAGAGTTGTTTGCAAGCACCTAAGTGATATCTATCACTTATTCTCATTAACGGACTCTTTAAAGTTCATTAAAGCAACATTGCTTACTACGCGCAATTTACCTATGTCGTGCTTAAACTAACTCTTAACCTTAAAAAGTCATTATGAATCGATATATTATCGGTTGCCAAGTTTATGCATATTTGCGATGGCTTACGCTTATCATTATTCATTTGCAATTTGGTCCTGTCCACCCAGTTGTGGGTGTGGCTCTATGCTAGTTGTGCATATGCTTTTTTTTTTTTTCTTCTTCTTATTTGTTTTTATTATACTTGTACTAAGTTTTAATATTAATTAATTTAAGATTCATTTTACGAGTCAATTGAACTCGACTACGAACTAAATAAATAAATATCACGCTGTGCTGGTGATGCCCTTTTTTGCTATAGGAAAGATAAAAACGCTGCAAAAAAGAAAGTTGTAAAGTGTACTGTGAGAATGTTGAAGTGAATTAAGGCCCCAAAGAGTGGTTGGCTCGATTCCGTTCCGTAAATGTCGATGTCAAAGATGCGATGAAATTTTGCAAGTGGCACGCAAGCTGTCAGGAATAGCGAAGATACTAAACATCAACCACATGACATCCATTGAAATCATTCATCAAAGAGCCGGCTACAAAAAGAAAGTGAAAAGCGCAGAAACACCGCAAACACCTTAGATACGACTCTTATATTGACTTTTCATATATGACTCCAGTATAACAACACCGACGGACGTATAATGATAAGTGGAAACTGAGATATACCGACAATTCAATGAATTCGGAAAGTTATATTCGGCGGGGACCAAATCTCGCCTACCCACCGCTATACTTTTCGTATTCTACTGCCCAAGTTCTTTTATTTGATAACCATATCGCTGGTATTATTGGAAAGAAAATATTAATTGCGGCGTCTATCACGTTCATCTTACAATTAACTCATTCTTAGGACAGATAATATATATGTCTTCATTTAAGGAGATTACAAAATAGTTTTAAACATTCTGTCTTGTTCGCCTTATGATAAATAAGCATTGAACGTCAAAAAAAAAAAAAAATAAATAAAAAATAAATAAATAAATAAATAAATTTAATACATTCGTAACTTTGTGTGGACACGACCGATTGATTCTATTCGAATGGATCTAGAGAGTAAAGTGTCTCGCAAAGCAAAGGTGCAAGTGTCTCAACCGTCTAACTTTAATAATTTCCGAATAACGAGCAAAACAGAGTTGCGTTCAGTTTCCGCTCCACTGCACGTTCCCGCTCCTACCGAATTTGGCTCATTTTCAATACCAACCTGCGCGCAGAAACTTCCAATGTTTCCAACAACAAATTTGAAATTGATATCTTCAGTTTTGCGACCAGGCGCATGCCAACAACACACACCAGACAGACACACAGACGTACAGGCATAAGTAAATCAACTCAGGATTTCACACTGATCAGGAATATATATATATATATATATATATATATATATATATATATATATATATATATATATATATA